AAGATAAAATAAGAGTATTTTGTATTACCATTTGATAATTAAATATAGTTGCACATATACAACAGATTTAAGAACACAAAAATCAACGATGTACAATTTAGTTATTGATGATATTCTTTAGTTTAATTTAAGTATAGGTTTAGCAAAACACAATAACTAAATTTACCTAGATATACATATAAAAAAAACAATGTGATGTGCAAGTTATGTTAAGTTAATCTAACACATCTTAAGCAGTTCAAATTTATTTAAAGTAGCATCCAAATTCGTACAAAACATCTATACATTGTAATTTTCTTACTGTTTCCATGAAAATATATATCAATAACATTATTTTCATAACACTTAAGACACTTTAAAAATCGAAAGCAGAGCCTGAGTTGATACAGCAACGCTTTTAGAATTTTTTTTTTTATTTCTATTATCATTGACATAGTTTTTTTTAATAAATGATCTTTGATACATTTTTAGATTATGGCCCAGCGCACACGGTGTGACTGTTTTACAATAATTGTTGCAAACCAGATATCTGTTAGTCTGGACTCATTAATTAATTTTATTTCTATTTACAGCTGATGTAGCCTAATATTTACAATTCTAAGATTGAGAAATGAATAAAAACAAGACTTTATTTTTAGTTCTTACAATTATGTGTTATAATTATTTAATTCAATAAGTACGTAACAAAAGCCCTCGTGGCTTTGATGCTGTATGATGATATTGATGATGATGTTGTCGATCTTTTATCTTTATTGGTGTCAAGTCATAGTGATTGAAGTGATATACGGTATATTTAAGATTCGGAACAGTGAAGGAGCTTACAACATACTCGTTTGTAAACATTTGGTAGACAATGAAACAATGTTTAACCCTAGAGCTGGTACTAGTGTGACGCTGTACTGGCATAGGGATATTATTGATTATGTAATATCATTTTTAAACCATCATAAAAATTAGAAATAGCAACATAACTATGGATCATTATATATCATTTTGTTAAGAATAAGACAAAGAACAATAATATAGGGGATTTACATGGTTACCACAAAAAAATTTTTTTTTAGTTTTTCCGAATTGTAGGCATTATTAATTTTTTTATAAAATGTTTTTATATTCCGTCGTGTAGCTAAGTGCAGGTAAGACTTATCATCATAAGGTAAATTGTAAAGTTGTAGTAAATTTTAGGCTGATTCCAAAAATATATAGTTTATAAAGCTTATTTTGTGTATTTTGTTTGATAGCCCTATTGTTATGTTATGAGTCTACGCACAGGCCCTGCCTATATAGACTTTTTCCTTTGTTATAGAAGGTTTTTTTTTGCACTTTTTCCGCTTTATTTCTACAGAATATAATCTTTGTTTTGTTATCTAGTTATCAATGTTTGCTGTATTATATTTAAGAAAAAAAAAATACAATGTACTTATATGCATATAGTTTATGGGAAATAAAATATTATTTCATTCATTCATTCATTCATTCATTCATATGTTGATCGTACCCCCACGCTAGTACCAAATAATCATCCAACCCAGGTCATGTACAAAACCGTAGGGTACACCTTATATAATATATAATAATATATAATAATAATAATAATAATAGCCCTAAAAAGTGAACAAAACTAAAAAAAATATATATATAGCCCATGTATAATATATATTATATATACCATAACACCTGCATTGGCGCCGTATATCCGGCGTTTGCCGGCGCTAGGGTTAAGCGGTACTTCCGTGTGTCAAAAGACAAATTTTTCTTTTTGGTTCATCTCATCAAAGATGACTTACCCACCAACGCTACTAATCGAGACAAACAACCTTTGAATGCCGAGATTAAACTAGCGGTAACATTAAGGTATGTACCAACATTATTAGTATTTTTGTTATTTATTTAACGTAATAGCACAAGACATAATGAAACTGCACGGTCACAATAATCTATGGCTCTTCTCCGCTGGCGGAATCCGCTCTACCACTGCTCTCAGACCAGTATGATTTGTCCGCCATGCGGAACCGAAAATTCGGGATGCGGAAACTCACGTCAGTGGAACCGCTCACAAGGAAACTCCATTGAACCAGTGTAGTTGTAATTCCGCAGCGGAAAAAATCACACCGCATGGCGGAGATTCCGCAGTCTGTGGAACCATAGCTTTAAATTCTGAACAATATGGTATGACACCCATTTCTGTAAAAATTCTGGTTCAAAAAAAGTATTGCTGCAACTGTGTGCTGTATTTTAAGACCACCGTCAAGCGGGGTAATTCTGACCCCCCAGGGGTAACATTGACCCCGGGGTCAATTATTTTTATTATATTCTTTTTTAAATAGTAGGTTATAAATAAATTGAAAATAAAAAATATGATAAATTTCAGTAGTTTGGTAGCAATTTGAATACAAATAATATTTAGCAGAAATTAGTTTTATAACAATACAAAAAAATTATAATACAATCATCTACAATACAGCTGTATAATTTCATAACAAAAAACTTTTTCAGCCCAGCAAAAACTGTTGGTTCTGGCACTGTCAGGATTTTATATGGTAAAATATATATGTTTTTAGGAATATTTGAGCACTTATTACAAGCAAATAAAGAAAATTTAATAAATTAATAATTATTTTTTAAGGCCTTGTAACATTGACCCCTTATTTTTTTTGCCTTCGGATAACTTTGACCCCTCGTTATAATTCCAAGTTACTAATTAGTAATTAGCCTACACATCATTTTTATTAATTCTGGTATATTTAATTTAATTGATTTATGTATATAATGTAATAGACCTACTAAAAATGATGATTTATAATTGTTTTATTTTTATCTATGAAGTTGAGGTAAAAGCAATCTGTGGAAAGCGAGGAAAACAACACTTTAACCAGGTCTTTGCCTGTTAAGTTAAAAAAATTAACAGTTTGTTGAAGTAATGTGACTTAATTCTGTTGACACTAACTATGGGGACAAATTTACATCCAAAAGAAAATTATGTGTTTTCTATTCTGCCCCATCTGTAGATCTGATTGGTAAGTTGCCGGGAACTCTGGAATCTAATGGGAGCAAAATTTTCTATAACTTTTTTGGAAGGGTTTCAGTAAAGGAAATTTAATGATTTTAGTCACTAATAACTTGTAGTTTTGATGTTTTACCTTGGTGTTACATCCTAATCATGTGATAAAAAAAATTGCTAATTTGATTTATTCCATCATTATAGCCTAGGTGAGTTCATAAAAAAAATGTTTATGTTCACTCCTTGATGTTGTTACCACTCTATTGTTCTTAAGTAACATTGACCCCTTTTACAGGGGTCAAAGTTTCATTGTACACTAGTAACATTGATCCCAGTGCTTTATTATGTATAATTTTAGTATAATAAATGTAGGGGGTCAATGTCACCCCAAGACACGGGGTAACATTGGCCCCTTTTATAATTTTTTTTATGACTAACATATGACAATAAAAAACAAAATAATTACTGGTAGGTATTCACACAGTACCTGTATATCATTTAAAAAATATATTGTGAATATTAATCAATATAAACAAAAATTAATCAACAAAAACATCAAAAAAGGGGTCAATCTAACCCCGGTTGACGGCAATGCTTGCCACAATTACTTGTTATCACCCAAGCATCAAGAAATATATTTATTTGTGGGGAAGATAACTATAACTTAGGGTAAGATCCAACTGAACTTTACCTAGGCCTACCTTGTTAAATTACATTCCAAGAATTTCCATTGACTTTTGAACTTGAACTAGGTAAATTGCCATTATATTATTTTATTGGACTCAAAATTAATATGCCTACTCGTTAAACATAATATTATTTAAATAGATTAAGGCTATGTTAAAATCCAATTAGGCAATGGAAACTTGTTTAGTCTGCAGGTTTGCTGTGGTAGGGGTATTTTTCTTTCTCTTAGTCAGCAATGTCATTTAACCAAGGCACGGCCTCCCCCTGCGATTTTTAGTCGTTTTAGAAACACTGAGAGGTGAACCCAACTGTTCTCCATAGGCTATAGGCTAGGCCTAACCAATGGCTGACAAAGAGACATGTTGTGTGAGTGATTGCCTTAGTGCTCAGAGCGATAAAAAACGCCGTAAGCATCGTTATTGGGTACATCCAATAACAAAGTTAACCAGAGGTTGTTAAAAGGGAAATTTTACAAGCTAGGCCTAGGTATTTGAAGACCTGTGTGAAAACCCTGTGAAGTTTTTCCAGTACTACCACATGAGTAAATGCACTTTTGATGAACTTTTGGCAATCAATCACTGTGGCAATGATGCCATGATGTAAGTTAGCCTACATTTGACTCGTTGCCAGACATTTTTTAGGCACGGATTGAACGGCAGAGGGTCAGAACTGCGACATAACTATCAGCGGTGGAGGCATGTCCATAACTGACGGTGTGAGGCATTTCAGAAGGCTGATAGTCGTGTCGCAGCAAAAATAGGATCATTTGCAGCATTTTTGTTGTAGACATTTTGTTAGTCTACTGTGGATTTACTCTACTTAATCGGAAACAATGGTTTTTATATTTATGACTAAATAATCGTACAACTAATTTTAGATAATCATGCGACTATAAATCGCAAAAGGAGGCCGTGCCTTAGTGGTGGCTAAGGGTTACACATAGGCCTACCCATTGTGGCTTTTGTCAACTTGTGGTTCCCAATCTTTTAACATGTCAAGTGAAAAATCCAAGACAAAGCAGCAAACTTGGGCGCTAAGTTACTAACATTTAGAACTACAGTTTATATGAAAATGAATTTTGTGTTGTACTATTTGTTGAGCTAAGCACTCATAAGTTATTGCCAATTTGCAACAATAAAATGCAGAAGTAAGTTTATAAAAGAATTGTCTACAACTTACAACTATTTAAGTTACAGGTAAATTAATCAACACGGTGTAAGTTTTATAGTTATAAGACGGATAAGGCCTATATCCCTTTTTGGATTAATGTTTAAAGTAATAAAGCAATCGTTTAGATTAGACCCTAACCTACCTTTAATATTCGATCATCTAACTCCATTTCATGGAATTGTAATGTCTTATCTTCTGATTTCCTTTTATTTGGTTGTTTATCCCCATCATCCATTGTTTTCTTCGGATTTATTAACTAGGCCTCTAGGGTCCAAAGCACTTTCTGGTCAATATTAGTATTAGAGCTTTTGTCAACGTACCAGCAACACGTTCACGTATCTTCGTACCTACCTACCTACCTAAACCAAACCTAACCTACCTAACCTAAACCTTTAAAAATCAAAATCTGACTCTTTTAGTCCTGACTCCTGCCTGAGTATGTTTTATCTATGGTACTGTGGTGGGGCACACGGGAGGGACTAAGGCTAACATATCTTGTAGTGTCAGCGTTCGCCGCTAGAACCGCTAAGTTGAAAAAATTTAAATAATTTTTTTTTAATTATAAAATTAACTTCTTAGTTATAAAATATTTTTTTAATTATAAAAAAAATTTTTAATTTTTAAAATTAAACTGTCATTACATAACCTAACCAACCAGACTTGCTGATAGTGTAATATGAAAACTATATAAGATAAAAATCTAATTAATGATTACTTATAATTTTTAATTAAGTTATAAAATTACGCCGCTAGAACCGCTAAGTTGAAAAAATTTAAATATTTTTTTTTTATTATAAAATTAACTTCTTAGTTATAAAATATTTTTTAAATTATAAAATAAATTTTTAATTTTTAAAATTAAACCGTCATTACATAACCTAACCAACCAGACTTGCTGATAATATGAAAACTATATAAGATAAAATCTAATTAATGATTACTTATAATTTTTAATTAAGTTATAAAATTAATTTTAAAATTTAGTATTAAAAAATTTAACTGTCATAACCTAACCTAACCAACCAAACTTGCTGTTCCTATAAAAAGATATAAAATAAAAATTAAATAAAGGTTCAATATTAAAAAAAAAACACTTTTCATAAATAAAATTATAAATGCATCAAATTCTAACAAAAGATGTACAGTTAAGAAGTATTCGCATTCTAAGCAAAAATCGTTGACAAAAAGTTTATGTCCCCGGCTGGTTTCGAATCCGGGACCTCCTGAACACCAATCCGAGACGTTACCAACAATGCCACGAACGCCGCTGAAATCACATCGTCTCGTCACAGTAATCGTGTTGCCTTAGTCCCTCCCGTATGCCCATTCCCTGAGCAGTTTAGGGAAAAGAAATGGATTTTTTTCTATTTTATTTGCTCGAAAGCAGGCTTATATTATATGCAGCCTCGTTGTGCAATAATTTATTTGACGAAACTGTGGTTTTCATTAGAATTTGGTAAGTTTTTGTTAGTATTGACAAGGAATTGTTGAGGATATTGTTTTAGTTTGGTGGCTAATTTCATTTTGGTTTTTTTTTGTTGTGTCAAGATAATATACGGGATTTAGTAGGATTCTAAGGCCTTGATAGACTAGTAAAAATAGCTTAAAATTTACCTATACCTAGAAGTAATTGTAATATAATTTCTGTCAATGGATTCTTATGTAAAAATGGCTGAAAAAAACGATGGTGAAAAGTCTACCACTCTACGGAGGTGCGTTGGCCTTGTATGAAAGGTTTTTCAAAATGGCTACCGGAAATATTTATGTTTTTAGCCAATTAGTCCTAAATTATTATAGGTAGCTTAAATAAGTAAATGAGTAAATTTTAAAGAATTAAATTGCGCAACTTTTGGTATATAATAAGTTAAAATAAGGTAAGTACTTACATTTTTACAAGAAAATAATGTTTTCAAACAATTTTAATAATTTATTGTAATTCAGAGAACTTTTGAGTTATGGGCTTCAAGTTGGCAACAATGTTTGTTTTGTTCCAGCTGGGAGTTCTAATTGTTGTTGTTATTATTTCAACATGTTTCTAGTTTACTTTCATGAGTTTCTTGTTAGTCCCCCTAATAGTACAGGTAAAATAATACAAAAACACTCCATATAAACAACAAAATTTGTACATTTATGAAATTACACCTGTGAGTTACTAATAATATGAGAAATGAAGATCCGATGAGTCCCCAAAATTTTGGGCGTCCTAAGGCCCTTTTTGAGGCCCTTTTTGTTCCGAAGGGCCCTTGTTCATGAATAATTTTGTTTATACGTTTAAGGTCGAGTGCGGTGTTGTTTTCGATTGTTTTAGTTATTTTAAATCGATTGGGACTAGTTTTAAGTGTATTAAACCACTCCATACATGGTGTTTCGAAATATTATTACTTTTTACGATATTTAGACATTTATTCATAAAGTGATAAAATTAGTTACCTCCAAGCTCTATATAAAAGGGGATTATTGAAAATAACTGCAATTCTTTACTATATAAGAGGAAAGGGTCACAAGGAGTAAGAGAAAATATTAAATACCCCCGTCACAGCAAACCTGTAGACTAATCGAATTTTGATTTCCCTGATTTTCTATTAAATCTAAAATAGCATTGAGTTTAAAGAATACTTAGGTTTGCTGCTACAAGGAGGCTAATAAAGTGTGTTTATAGTAAAATATCAATAGCCTAGTATAAAACAAATAAATTTGACAAGTTTTTTTTAGACATATCTATAAACAAACAAACAAAATCATTTTACACTATTCTACTTAAGAATAACATGGGATTTTAAATTTACAATTTTTGAATTTGGTTCGTAACTAATACACCTACAATCACGTTAATATATTAAATTATTTGTTTTCTTTAAGCTCTTTAAAATGCTCTAGAGAAAAATTGGGAAACTTTGTCTTTTGAGGGTCAAAGATTACAAATTTTTACCACATAAAACCCTGCTCCACGGACCGATTATGCCGGTTTCGTTAAAATTGAACCAAAATTATTCGAGTTATCATGTTTACGGACACTTATATAACATGGATATATTATATTACATATATGTATATAAACAGAAATATAATATTTTGAGTGAATGGTGCTTTAGGCTTCTGGGGGCATCGAAATGAAAACGTAAATCGGTTTCGGGTCTATGTTTTACCATAAGACCTTCGGTAATAGCTTATCTCCTATATGGGATGTTCGCTAAAAGGGGATGGATTAACTTTTACACTATAACATTATAACATAGGTTACTAAGCAAACATTTCAACTTTAAAGGTGGTGTCAATAATCTTTCAACGTGTTTTTTGTGCAAATCTATGAAGACCAATTTCAAATTTATATGTATTTTTCTTAGGTAGTTATTTAAGTAATTTTTTTACATTTATTAAAAATTAAAACAATTGTATTTGTATAAAACCTTACATTACATATTAAAATGAAGTACTTAAACTAAAGCTATTTATCTACGATATCCGTATTATCTCTCTTTACAATTTCATCACAATAATTATTATCAGACGACTCATTAACAATTTTATTATTCTTAGCAACTTATCCATCTTTACTGATTTTGTCCAAGTTGGTGTTCAAGCAGGATTCCCCTTTACAAACCTAAAACCTTGCACATTGCAGAACAGGCAAAACCCATCTTAAAGCACGAACAATGTGGTGCAAAAACACCTTTCATACATACTGACGTTTGCAACTTGTATTTTGTTCCTAAAACTTATTTTCAATCAATACAAGTACGGTTATCTTTCGTGGTTATGACGACCAGGACAGCACTAAGACATCATACACAATATAATATGAACATACTGTACGTAAATTTAGATCGATCATATTGTTAAATGTGTTATGATTTAGCCATGATCGTACAAAATGGCTACATTACAATTTACGTTTGTACGTTAATTTGTGTTTTGCGTTAGCCTCATTTTGGGGGTGAAATTCCAGCCCGTACGTCGCCTTTTCTCTGAAACCATAGGGGGTAAAATTCCGGCAACCCCGAGAATTCACGCATAGTATAGACGGCATAGTATTCTATATATTCCTAGATTTTTACATGACTTTTATCATGATAACATAAGTATGCAGTAAGCAGGTTAATTTTGTTTTTACGTAAATTCTTTAACAGAACTAAGTACTTACACAACATTGTTAAATCTTGAGGAGATATTTGTTGTTGTTGTACTCTCAAAATCTACATGCTTTTTCTGAAATCCAAATTAATATTAAATATTTTTTGTTATTATCTGTACAGTACTTTGTTAATGTTATCATCTGTTATTGTTGTTATGGTGCTATCTTGTTGTTATTATTTTTTGTTGCAATGCTGTTTTGTTAAATGGCTATATTATGTAACTACTCTTTATTTCCAATGCAATTGTTATCTTTTCTGCTCATGTGCTTAAACACATAATTATTTTGTAAATGGTGTAGCCGTTGAAGTGAATAAATAAGAAAACAACCAAACCAGTGCCTGCAATATAAGAAAGCGTAATTAGGGACGAAGAAATAAAAACAGGTTTCTTATATTTTGCAAGATATACTCAGTTTGTAATTTTATTTTTGAGCGGAGCGAGCGTAGCGAGCGAAGCTCTTATACGTCGACTTTTATGCATTTCGTAATACGCAAACTCCTCCTAGATGGCTGAATCAATCGTTTTCAAATTTTGCAAGGTGATAAAGACCATATCGGTGAGTGCCAACATCTATATGGCGTAAAAAAAGTCTCTCAGGAATCCGCCCCACTGGGTCTCAAAGTTTCAATGTAATCCTTATGGAAGCAGTATTTGACATATAAACAAAGACATATGATCAGCTGTTGACTTTTGAATGCAGTAGATAAATAAATAGCTGATAGGCTAGCATTATTCCACAGATATTAGAACATAAACGGTGGTATGGATCATAAATATAATCAAATGACGACACTAGCTTGAGGTCCGTGACGTAGGAAGTGGTGAAGGAAGTAGTAAAAGTGAGCAGTCTGGAGTGTGGAAACTGTTTAAGACGATTAGATTTAGGTAGGTATCTGCATTCCTAAAATTCTATGGGAAGGGAGGAAAACGGGTCCGCGACGTAGGAAGTGGTGAAGGAAGTAGTCAAGGTGAGGTGTCCGGAATGTAGAAACTGTTTATGACGATTAGATTTAGGTATCTGCTATCCTAAAATTCTATCGGAAGGGAGGAAAACGGGTCCGCGACGTAGGAAGTGGTGATGGAAGTAGCCAAGGCGAGCTGTCCGGAGTGTGGGAACTGTTTATGATAATTAGATTAAGGTATCTGCAATCTTAAAATGCTATTGGAAGGGAAGGAAACAGGTCCGCGATGTACGAAGTGGTGAAGGAAGTCGTCAAGGTGAGCTGTCCGGAGTGTGGGATCTGTTTATGACCAATAGATTGAAGTATTTGCATTCCAATAATGCTAAGG